AAGTCCCTGAAGAAAGAAATTGAAGAAGATCTCAGAAGATGGAAAGATCTCCCAACCTCATGGATTGACAGGATTAATATAGTAAAAATGGCCATCTTGCCAAAAGCAATCTACAGATTCAGTGCAATCCCCATTAAAATTCAAACTCAATTCTTCACATAGTTAGAAAGAGAAATTCTCAAATTCATTTGGAATAACAAAAAACACAGGATAGTGAAAACTATTCTCAACAATAAAAGAACTTCTGGAGAAATCACCATCCCTGACCTCAAGCTGTACTACAGAGCAATAGTGATAAAAAAAAAAAAAACTACCTGGTATTGATACAGAGACAGGCAGGAAGATCAATGGAATAGAATTGAAGACCCAGAAATGAACCCACACACCTATGGTCACTTGATCTTTGACAAAGGAGCTAAAACTGCCCAGTGGAAAAAGGACAGCATTTTTAACAAATGGTGCTGGTTCAACTGGAGGACAACATGTAGAAGAATGAAAATTGATCCATTCTTATCTCCTTGTACAAAGCTCAAGTCTAAGTGGGAAAAGGACCTCCACATAAAACCAGATACACTGAAACTAATAGAAGAGAAGGTGGGAAAGAACCTTGAATACTTGGGCACAGGGGAAAAGTTCCTGAACAGAACACCAATGGCATATGCTCTAAGATAAAGAATTGACAAATGGGACTTCATAAAATTGCAAAGTTTCTGTAAGGCAAAGGACACTGTCAATAGGACAAAATGACAACCAACAAATTGGGAAAAGATCTTTACCAATCTTACATCTGATAGAGGGCTAATATCCAATATATACAAAGAACTCAAGAAATTAGACTCCAGACAACCAAATAACCCTATTAAAAAATGGGGTATAGAGCTTAACAAAGAATTTTCAACGGAGCAAACTCGAATGGCCGAGAAACTCCTAAAGAAATGTTCAGTATCCTTAGTCATCAGGGAAATGCAAATCAAAACAACCCTGAGATTCCATCTCACACCAGTCAGAATGGCTAAGATTAAAAACTCAGGTGATAGTAGATGCTGGCGAGGGTATGGAGAAAGAGGAACACTCCTCCATTGTTGGTGGGACTGCAAGATGGTGCAACCACTTTGGAAATCAGTGTGGAGGTTCCTCAGAAAATTGGACATAGCATTACCTGAGGATCCAGCTATACCACTCCTAGGCATATACCCAGAAGATGCTCCAACATATAACAAGGACAGATGCTCAACTATGTTCATAGCAGCCTTATTTATAATAGCCAGGAGCTGGAAAGAACCCAGATGTCCTTCAACTGAAGAATGGATTCAAAAAATGTGGTATATTTACACAATGGAGTATTACTCAGCTATTAACAACAATGAATTCGAGAGTTTCCTAGGTAAATGGATGGAACTAGAAATTATCATCCTGAGTGAAGTAAGCCAATCACAAAAGAACACACATGGTATTCACTCACTGATTATTGGATATTAGCCCAGAACCTTGAAATGCCCAAGATGCAACTCACAGGCCACATGAAGCTCATGAAGAAGGAAGACCAAGTGGGGGTGATTCGGTCCTTCTCAGAAGGAGCAACAAAATACTCAAGGGAGCAAATATGGAGACAAAGTGAGGGACAGAAACTGAAGGAGGGGCTGTCTGAAGACCATTCCACCTGAGTATCCATCCCATGTGCAGTCACCAAATGTAGATGCTGATGTGGAAGTCAGGAAGTGCATGCTGATAAGAGCCTGATATGGATGTCTCCTCAGAGGTCTTCAAGAGTCTGACATATTCAGAGGCAGATGCTCATAACTAGCCATTGAACTGATAATGGGGTTCCCAATGGAAGAGTTAGAGTGAAGGCCATTGGAGTTGAAAGGGTTTGTGGCCCCATGAGGAAAGCAACAATACCAACCAACCACAGCTCCCAGGGTCTAAACCACCAGCCTGGGAGCACTTAGGGAGGGATCCATGGCTTCAGCTGCATAAGTAAGAGCGGACGGCCCTACTGGGCATAAGTGGAAGAAGAAATCCTTGACCTCATGAAGGCTGGACGCCCCAGGGGGTGGGAATTTTGAGGGTGAGGAGGTGGGAGTGGGGGGATAGGCAGGGGTTACATCCGCAGAGAAGAAGTAGGAGGGGTGAGGGGATAGGGGGTTCCTGGGTGGGTGGGGGATGGGGTAAGGGGACAACATATGAAATGTAATTAAAACATCCAATAAAAAAAAAGAAAGAAAGAAAAAGAAAAGGACAGTATTTTCAACAAATGGTGCTGGTTCAACTTGAGGACAACATGTAGAAGAATGCAAATCAACCCATTCTTATCTCCTTGTACAAAGCTCAAGTCCAAGTGGATAAAGGACCTCCACATAAAACAGATACACTGAAACTAATAGAAGAGAAAGTGAGAAAGAGCTTCGAATACTTGGGCACAAGGAAAAAGTTTCTGAACAGAACACCAATAGCTTATGCTCTAAGATAAAGAATTGACAAATGGGACCTGATAAAACTGCAAAGTTTCTGTAATGCAGAGGACTCTGTCAATAAAACAAAATTATAACCAACAAATTGGGAAAAGATCTTTACCAGTCCTACATCTGATAGAGGGATAATATCCAATATATACAAAGAACTCAAGAAATTCAACTCCAGACAACCAAATAACCCTTTTTAAAAATGGGGTACAGAGCTGAACAAAGAATTCTCAACTGAGGAAACTCGAATGGCTGAGAAGCACCTAAAGAAATGTTCAGCATCCTTAGTCATCAGGGAAATGCAAATCAAAACAACCCTGAGATTCCACCTCATACCAGTCAGAAAGGTTAAGATCAAAAACTCAGGAGATAGTAGATGCTGGCGAGGATGTGGAGAAAGAGGAACACTCCTCTGTTGTTGGTGGAATAAGAAGATGGTGCAACCACTCTGGAAAGCAGTCTGGCGATTCCTCACAAAATTTGACATAGCATTACCTGAGGACCCAGCTATACCTCGCCTGGGCATATACCCAGAAGATGCTCCAACATATAACAAGGACATATGCTCCACTATGTTTATAGAAGCATTATTTATAATAGCCAGAAGCTGGAAACAACACAGATGTCCTGCAGCACAGGAATGGATACATTTACACAATGGAGTATTACTCAGCTATTAAAAACAATGAATTGGAGAAATTCTTAGGTAAATGGATGGAACTGAAAAATATCATCCTGAGTCAGGTAACCCAATCACAAAAGAACACACATGGTATTCACTCACTGATAATTGGATATTAGCCCAGAAGCTTGAAATACCCAAGATTCAACTCACAAACCATGTGAAGCTCATGAAGAAGGAAGACCAAGTGTGGGTGCTTCTTTCCTTCTTAGAAGGAGTAACAAAATACTCAAGGGAGCAAATATGGAAACAAAGTGTGGGACAGAAACTGAAGGAGGGGCTGTCTGAAGACCATTCCACCTGGGTATCCATCCCATGTGCAATCACCAAAGGTGTATGCTGATGTGGATGTCAGGAAGTGCATGCTGACAGGAGCCTGGTATAGCTGTCTCCTTAGAGGTCTGCCAGAGTCTGACATATTCAGAGGCAGATGCTCACAGCTAGCCATTGAACTGATCATGGGGTTCCCAATGGAGGAGTTAAAGAGAAGACTGAAGGAGCTGAAAGGGTTTGCGGCCCCATGGGGAGAGCAATAATACCAACCAACCAGAGCTCCCAGGGTCTAAACCACCTGCCTGGGAGCACATAGGGAGGGACCCATGGCTCCAGCTGTATATGTAGAAGAGGATGACCTTGTTGGGCATAGGTGGGAAAGGAGATCCTTGGTCCCATGAAGGCTGGACACCCAGTACACTATTGCTTTCTTCAGACACACCAGAAGAGGGCATTGGATCTCATTACAGATGATTGTGAGCCACCATGTGGTTGCTGCGAATTGAATTCAGGACCTATGGAAGAACAGTCAGTGCTCTTAACCACTGAGCCATCTGTCCAGACCCCTGCCTACAATCATTTTTAAGATTGTATTTTTATTTATTTTACTTTTATGTGAAAGGGTGTCTTGCCCACATGCATTTCTGTGCACCACATGTGTGTCTGGTTCCCTTGGAGGCCAAAAGCAGGCATCAGATTCCCTGGAACTGGAGTTATGAGTGGTTGTGAGCCACTGTGTGGGTGCTGAGTATCAAACCTGGGTCCTCTGGAAGAACAGCCAGAATTCTTAACCACTGAGCAATCTCTCCAGGCCCCTGCCTACAATTTTAAACTAGAGAAACCATGTATGTTCTTCATTAAATAGTGGGAATAAATTTACTTCTTGTCTTTTATCCATATCACCTGCAAAGATAAATGTCACAAAAGTTTCCAAAATGTTTTCCTTTTTAAAGTCACTCATACAAATACAAGCTACAGTAAAACCAATCTAATCTTTAAAGATTTTCCTGTAAGAAAGGAAAAATTCTATTATAACCTGGATAATCAAAGCTTGGTAACAAAGATATACAGAAAAACCAAGAACATTCTGGTAAGGATTCATTACTACTCTCTCTTTTTTAGGGTAGTTTTTCCTTAGTAAACAAAAAATAACTTGTGAGTAATAAAATTTAAATATCTAATAGTACATAGTTTTAAGTATACCATATCTAATATGTATGTATTGAATACACTTCCTCAGAAATTATTTATTTATCTATAATATGAATATGATGGTATACATTTTATACAGTTCTTAGTAAAATGAAAACTCACAGACTCTTCAGATAAATAATGAGTCCTCTTCAGTATAACTATATTTCTTATCACATATGTATGTAATTTTATAAAAATGCTAATGGTCTTAAATTCAAGTTTAATTTGTTCTCCTTGGTTCTTCTGAGTCCTACTTGTTCTTATGACACAAAACTCAAAGAGAACACACTGTCAGGTGTCAACCAAGTACAATGCATTTCCTTCACCCTGATTCCATGTACATGGTCATGCCAGGATTTCATAAGACAGAAGAGAAAGGAAGTTCATACCTTGTGGGTACAAGTAAGAAAAATATTGGTATAGACATCGCCAGATGGAGGTGGTGCCAGTTTCGAATAGTAAAAGCCAGGCCTGCCAATATTATTTGTCCAATTGCTCCAGCACATATCAACATTGCTGTTGCCAAGGCTTGGAATTTAGGCTTTATCCATTCTGTTACTGAAAGAAAAGAAAATGAATGAATCTTGATTTCAAATTAAGATAGGAGGGACGTCCAAATCAAAAACAAAGCTTGTAAAAATGTCCATTAAAAGTTTTGACTTACTGAGCAAGCTACTATTTGTCAAAATGGCTGAGAAAGAAGTTCCCACCAGGAATCGTAGTGAGCAGTAGATGAGGAAGCTGGGAGCCAAAGCTGCACAGGTCTCAGTGATGGCCATTTGCAGTAAACCACATATAAAGATTAACCTCCTCCCAAACCTGAGGAAAAGAAAGAATTAGGCTATGGGAACAACGCACTTGGCATACAAACTGAAAACACTTTAAAGTGATAGATAATCAAGAAATAACTAAAAGTGTACATCCTGACAAGCAACTTTCTGTGTTTGAAAACAGTGCGAACCAAAGCTTCATCTCCAATCTGCTACTAGTATCTTTCCTACTAATACAAGCCACAAGACAGCGTAGAACATTTGAGTTTTAACATTATATAAATACCCTTTTATTAAAGTATTTACTTAACATGGATTATTATCTTGTTTCACTGATATGACAAAATACTTAATTATTTATCAAATGAAATTTATTTATTGCCGGGCAGTGGTGGCACACGCCTTTAATCCTAGCACTTGGGAGGCAGAGACAGGCGGATTTCTGAGTTCGAGGCCAGCCTGGTCTACAGAGTGAGTTCCAGGACAGCCAGGACTACACAGAGAAACCCTGTCTCGAAAAACCAAAAAAAAAAAAAAAAAAAAAAAAAAAAAAAAAAAAAAAAATTATTTATTATACATACAGCATTATGCCTGCAGCCCAGAAGATGGCACCAGATCTCATTATAAATGGTTGTGAGCCACCATGTGGTTGCTGGGAATTGAACTCAGGACCTCTGGAAGAGCATCCAGTGCTCTTAACCTCTAAACCATCTCTCCCGCCCCTCAAATGGAAACTTTTATCAAGCAGATTTTTAACAAAACAAATTCAAAAAGTCAGAATTCAGAGTTTTATTGTCAACCAGAAGAGGAATTCTTTCTACTTTGTTGAATAAAGGCATGTGTACTGGATTTAAAGTAATTGGGGTAACTAGTAGCCATGCTGTGGTATCTGCTACACTCAACAGTATATTTACATTGTAACATTAATTATATATAATTATACATTCTACTTCATACAAATTTATACAACATAATCATAATTATTAAGCTTGTGTTTCAACTTAGAACAAGGTATGAATTTAAAAGGTGGTGTGTTAAACTAAATGTTAAAATGACAGTCTAGATAAAGCTTAGTCAGTCCAAACAATGCATGGGTATTGTGCCCTTCCCAGCCTTGAGCAGACTGAACAGACCTTGTTTGCCACACAGGACCTTAACATCTAGGTGAAGTCATCTGCTTTGTTTACACTTAGAACTTCCTACAGGACCTTAACACCTAGGTAAAGTCAGCCACTTTGTTTACACTTGCAACTTCCTACAAGAACTTAGAAGAACTTAGAAGGCCAGTTGAGCCTGTTTTGCAATATTCTCCAGCTGAAACAAAGGATGGATTCAGGTGGGCTTCCCCTAAATAAACTCAGTGCTGAATATTAAACTTTGAGTCTTGATAAGAACCTTGTCTTGGCTTCATGCTTCTCTCGATCCCCCCGCCCCCCACTGTCTCTTTTTCATTTCCAGCCCCCCTTTCAGGTAAACCCAGTTCATCCATGGCTGTTTGAGGGCTACAAGTGTATCATATAAATCATATGTATTCTCATAGGAAAGAGTCATCTATTAAATTTGTAAATGTTCTACTTCTTGAACAGCAAACCTTTGGTGGTAGCCTAGTTTAATAATTCATTCATCGAGGGCACTTGGGTTATTTCCTGCCTTTTCAAACTTACTGGTGTTATTTATCTTTCCTTTTTCTCTCCCCATGCATTACTCTTCCTTTCTAGTTATCTTCACCCCATTTTCCTTTTATCCTCCCGCTTTTTGATTGTCTCTCTGTTATCCCATTATCCCTTTCGTAGTATCCATCTTCCACTCTGCCCATCTCTATCATTCTTTCTCTCCCCATCACTTCATACTGTTTCTACTTTCTTAGATTGTTGCATGCATATACACCTGAGAGACATAAATGATAGATGATAGATAAGTAGGTGGATAGATAGGAGATAGACAGACAGATTACAGAATCTACATGTCCAGAGATGGCCACGTGGGATTGGACATCCTGTGTGGTAGTAGCTCATCCTGAAAAAAACTGATGTTCTCTCTGCAGCTATTGACCACCTGTACCATAATTCTTTGGATACTTCAGGTTATATACTCAAATCTAAAGATCTGGAACTAGGACCCACAATTAAGAGAGAACATGCAGTGTTTCTCTTTCTGGATCTGGGTTACCTCAGCATATTTTTCAATTCCATTTTACTTGCAACTTTCATGATTTCATTTTTCTTTACAACTGAATAAAACTCTACTGTATGTGTGTACTCATTTTTGTTATTCATTCATAAAGGACATCTGGGTTATTTCCATTTCCTAGATATTGTGAATATAGTAACAATGAAGCTAGTTGAGCAAGCATTTCTGAAACTGAATATTGAGTATTTGAGAATAAAACCAAAGAATGATATAGTGGGTGATATGATAGAAAAGCCTTTGACAAAATCCAACATGAGTTCATGACAAAAGTCATGAAGAGAACAGGGTTGTATGGACCATACCTCAACTTAATAAAGTCTATATATAACAATATCATAGCAAATATCATTTTAAATGGAAAAAGGCTCAAAGCAATCCAACTAAAATCAGGAGTTAACCAGGCCTGTCCACTATCCCCACTCCTTTTCAATAAAGTGTTTAAATTACTAGCTAGAGCAATAAGACAAGAGAGGGAAACTAAAGAATACAAATAGGAAAAGAAGTCAAATTATTCCTGCTTGCAGATGTTACAATACTATACACAGGAGGGTCCATAAATTCCACCTAAAAACTTCTAGAAATGATCAACCTTTTTAGTGAATTAACAGGATACAAAATTAACTTTCAAAACAGCATCCTCTCTATACACCAATAACAAGAATATTTAGAAAGAAATCATAGACGTTTCTATTCACAATAGCTTCTTAGAAAATACAGTATCTAGGAATATCTAGGAATAAACCTAACAAAGGATATAAAATAGCTTCACAATGAAATCTTTAAACCTCTACAGAAAGATGTTGAGGAAGACACTAGAAAGTGGAAAGACCTTCCATGCTCATAGATTGGTAGGATTAATATTATGAAAATAACTATCTTAACAAAAATAATCTACAGATTTAATGTAATCCCAGCTGAAATCCCCATGCTATTCTTCACATAAATTAAAAAAAATCAGTTATATATACAGAAGCATGAATAGCCAGATAGGCAAAATAATCCTGCAACAAAAGAACAATTCAGAAAGGATTACTCTTCCAGATCTCAAGATATATTACAGAACCAGTAATTAAAAAACTAAAAAAGCACGGTGCTGGCACAAAAACAGGCATGTAGATTAATGTGGCTTAGCTAATAATATTTGAGCTTCTTGGATGTATAGATTGATGTCTTACATCAAATATGATACAATTTTTTATGTATTTATATTTTCTTTTTTATGTGTGAGTGTTCTGTCTGCCTGTACACCTGCATGCCAGAAGAGGGAATCAGATCCCTTTATAGATGGTCATGATTCACCATGTGGTTGCTGGGAATTGAACTCAGGACCTCAGGAAGAGCCAGTGCTCTTAACTACTGAGCCATTTCTGCAGCCTTACACTGTGACATTTCTTGAAGACAAATTATTCTGATCAAAGACTAACAGTTCTAATGGAAAAGTCAAGATAATGAGAATGGATTCAAAACAAAGATCTAAATTTAATTCGTTCTTTGAATAAATGGAAGAAAGCGATCAATTAACATATTTCTGAGAACTGTAAGGATAAAATGGCTGCCTCCAAGGATCAGGGACCATCAAGGAAAAGAGAGCAGAGAGATTGTTAACAGTGAAAGGTCAGAAAACCAGAAATGACTCTTCTGAGTGAAGAGCCAAACAGCAATGTGAAAGTTCAACAACTGAACTTTGAAGTCTTAATATATCATGTTCCTTCTCCTTGCCTTCCCTAGGGTGGTCTTTGGATGTCTTCCTTCCTGATAAGGAAGATGCTTTCTTAGAAGCTGCCCTTATCTATAAGTCAGTCTTTTATAATTAGATTCACAAATATGTATAAAAGTGTAAGCACTCACAAAGTTGACCCTACACTAAGAAAAAGCAAAGGTGCCTTTTGCATGTTAGTTACTCAGAGGGAAGCTTTGTGGAAGCCAGCTAGAACCTGCTGAAACCAGCTTTGTTGTTTTCCCTGATCCCTCTCCTGCCTCCTGTCAGGTTACCTCATACTCAGCTGCCAAGCTTCTTACTCATCTTCATCAGTGTTCCTGGTGTTGGGAAACACTGATTTAACCCTCAAAATCTGTTTTAACCCTAATAATTCTAGGTCATTGGAAGCTGAGGCATGAGGATTGTGACTTCAAGGCCACACTGACCAGCATGTTTTACACAGTGAAACACCTTTAAAATAAATAAAATAACCCACAAATAATAAATATTTTAATGACTCTTCGCTGAGAAAAGGAAGCACAAATTGTAACTCTGAATCTGAAATTTACCTTCTTTAAAATAAATAAAATAAAAGAACCTACAAATAATAAAACGAATAAATATTTTAATGACTCTTCACTGAGCACAAATTATAATTCTTAATCTGAAATTTACCTTCTGATTCTGAATCTGAAATTTACATTTAGGTAAACAGTCTTCAAATACACAAAATGTAAAAACACAAAATTAAGGGAAAATAGTTTAATGGAGTGAGAGATTGTAACATTACTCTCAGGATTTAAGAAGCAAAGAATAACCACAAGCCACAAGACATATTAGTGAACTTGACCTCTAACCAAAATTACTTGCCTGGCATTATGTGACACTGCTCCATGAAGAGTAAGTTACAAACTTGCTATAGTCTAATGTGCCTCTAGGATTCATACTTAGAAAATTACTATCTAGTCTGATAGTAGTAAGAGACACCTTTTAGATTTTGTTAACTGTGAGAGGAAATACTGCAGGCATGGTGGCTATCGTCAGGGAATCTGAAAATAAATGTTGAGGATAATATGGGAAAAGAGGAACATTTATTCACAACAGGTAGGGGTGCAAATCAGTACAACCAATATGTAAATTGGTTGGGATGTTACTTGAAAATTAAAATTACCATATGACTTATCATACAACTTCTAAGTATAGACCCAAAAAACTCCATATCCAGGCACAAATTCACTTGCTCATCATTTTTATTGTTATTATATATTTGTGATAGCAAGGACATAGAACCAGCAGTTGCCCATCAACAGATAAATCAATAATGAAAATGCAGTACATATACACAATGAAATATTCTTCACCTGTAAATAAATTATGAGATTTGCAGGAAATTTGTGGGTCCAAAGAGTGTAATATTTAGTGAGGTCACCCAACCCAGAAAGAGCAAACTGCATGTTCTCTCATATATGAGGATCATAGCCTATAATAATGCATATATGTAAAGAGGGTGTAAAGTCTGCAAAATCCAGAAAAGAGGCCAAATAGTGGGTGATGGGAAGGATGAGGGTGGAAAAAAGGACAATGGAACATGAAAGGGAAGAAAATCTAAGAGGAGCAACAGGGAGGGGATTGAGACCTTCAGGAGGGGATATGAGGAAGAAGAACCCAAAAACACACTTCATTTGAAATATCATAATGTGGGGCTGGGGAGATGGCTCAGCATCTAAGAGCACTGGCTATTCTTCCAGAGGACCCAGGTTCTATTCCAGCACCCACACGGCAGCCTACATTCATCAGCAACTCTAGTTTGAGTGTCTCTGTCACCATCTTCTGACCTCCACCAGAAGGTGGAGCACTAGGTGCACACATGGAGCACAGACATGCATTCAGGCTAAACACCTGTATTTTAAACACATAAAAATGGTATAATAGGACCTAACACTATGATGACTTCTTTTAATGAAACTATATGAAGGGAGAGAGAGACGTGCTGGAGCACCTAAAAGCCAGTGGAGGGGGGCAGGTGGAGCAGACATAAAAATAAATTGCTGACAACTGTGAAATTGTCAAGGAACAATTAAAACTCTTTTTAAAAATATGAGAGAGGAGCCCTTATGAATGGAATTAATAGCCTTATAAAAGAGGTGCAGAGCCAATCAGATGGTTTGGTGGCTAAGGACACTTGCAGGGCATGCCTGGCAAAAAGCTCTCCAGCTACCATGCAAAGGTGAACTGATTCTATAAAGTTGTCCTCTAATCTCCACATTGCAAGTCACAGCATACATGCTCTCACACACATATCATATGCACATATACACAGTGATTCTAAATATGTTTGAGGCTAAAATAAAAGAGGCACAAGGGAACTACATGTATATGAGGGCCCAGGATAGGCCTCCTCTGCTACAGAAAAAGGCAACAACTTGCTTGGCAAAAATGATTATCTAATTAAAAGGAGGTTTTTCAAGCACCAGATCTAAGTTATTAGATCACAAACTTTGATGACAGTTGTCATTAGATTAATTGTTTCATAACCTGAAAGTATGTCCTTTGGAAATCATCTTTGGCAGAACCAAAAAAAAAAGTGACTGGCATAGCTTCCCAAAACACCAATGGTGCCACAAGTGTCAAAGGAGATCCTACCATTGTGCTTGATCAATAAGCATGATTATCCCTTCTCTGTGCACTACAGCTTTGATGCAGTGTCCAAGAGGGAGAAAGCACAGCACCTCTGACAAGAGAGTCAATGCTGTTTTCCATTTTTGAATACTCAAATAGGATAAAAACCATGTGTTAAAACTTCTTTGTCTCATTCCTATAGTTGACTGTTTCCTCACCTCTCCCAAACATGCTGTGACACTTTCTCTCTACTTCTCATCCTGAAATGCTATATATTCCATAGAGAAGGTATTCATGTGGCCACACAACTTAGAAACCTTTATTCAAACAGCACTCATGACACTGACTGAAATTTCCTTTTGTGTTTGTGGATCTCTAGGATTAAGATACAGCTAGAGTATAATTTGCAATGGCTTCTTGGATAATGATTGAATGACTCACAGATGACTAAAATTCTCACACATATAGAGAGCCATGAACCAGAGCCACTCACCTGTCTGTTAAGCAGCCATATAGGATATTTCCTACCAACACACCAGTCAAGAATAGAAACTTAGCTATTGACTCCAGTGACTGAGATTCACACACCAGGTCCCACTGAAAGATATTGAAACCATCAAAGTAAGGCATATAGCCTATCAGACTATATCAAAATGCTTCAGCATGTTTCATTCTAGAAGACTCCTGAACTCTTCTCCCATTTCAACACTTTCTGACTTCTACCATCCTTGTCTCAGATTAAACACACCTAACTTCAGGAATCTTCCCTTAGTAACTAGGGCCTAGATCTTTAGGTTGCACTACTGACTTGTAGACCATGCTTAAAAATTCCCAAACTTCACCATATACTGTAATAATTTGAGAACCTTAAAAAATGTTCTGGATCCCATACCCAAATTCAGCCTCTCATGATAGATAGATAGATAGATAGATAGATAGATAGATAGATAGATAGATA